TTAACAGACTATTCAAATAGAAGAAATACACATAGCCAATAAATAAAAAACTCTTGATGGTGAACGTCACTAATCATCAATGCAAATTAAAACACGATTTTGTATGATTTTTATTGTCAGAGACTTTAAAAAGAATTTTTTGAATTAGTTATTCTACTTCTAGAAATTTTTCCTTTATGTTCAATGATTTAGTTTTGGGATGTTTATATTATCTCTGTTTATGATTGTGAAACATTTGAAACTATTTAAATACCCACTAATAGGAGATAGAGGAAGCAAATTACTGATTCACACAATTATTTTTTTAATGACATACTGTATTAAAGGCACAATATTGTATTATGTACAAAATCGGTCCTCACAGAGTATAATGGAGTATTTATAACTAAAATTTCATTGTGTGTATATTAAGTGGAAAGACATTCAATGTGTACTGTTGAGTGGAAAATAAGTGGGCCAAGAAGACTTTGCACAGCATTTTATATTTGTTCAAAAAATACAATTCACCCAAACATATGCCCAGAACAATAATTGGATGACCATACCCAAAAAATATCAGTGATTATCTCTGAGTGGTAACATCAAGGGTGATAGGTGAGATAAATGGCAATTTACTTCTCTTTAGTTTACAAGTTTTCTACAATAATTACATATTAATTTTATACAGAGTGAAAAACAGAACGAAATTGCTAGCATCCATTTTTGGGATGAATGGCCAGCTATCCAGGCTTCTGATTATCAAAGACTTCACATTTCTGCATTCTAATATAGAAAATGGAGAAAGGACGTGAATTTTATTTATTTATTTTTTTCCAAATCAACGTTCAGGTGATCCTACTGATTTTATTTTCCAGTTGAACTCTATCACATTTTAGTTAGTGGATCATTCTTCTGGATTCTGATAGTAGGGAAACTGAACTAGTGTTTGGCATCGGGTGAAATTTTGTCTTGCTTGGTGTCTCTTAAAGACATTTATTTTGAGACTTGGGAGAAATAAGCTTTGTTAGAGTGTACAAATCAAGACCCCATTTGAAAGCAGATGGCTCAAGAAAGGCTCAGACTCTTAGCATAATCTTGGGCATTGTACTTCCCTTGTTGTTGTTGTTGTTATGTGCCATGCAGTCGGACCTGACTCATAGCGACGCCTTCTTGGGTTGCCGAGGCAGTATCCCTACAGAAGTAGATTGCCCAACCTTCCTTCTGAGGAGTGACTGGTGGGTTTGAACCGCCAGCCTTCTGGTTAGCAGTCAAGTGCCTTAAGCACTGTTGTTGTTGGTGTTATGTGCTGTTGAGTGGGACCAACTCATAGCGACCCCTCCTTGGGTTTCTGAGGCAGTATTACTACGGAAGCAGATTGCCCCGTCTTCCTTCTGAGGAGTGGCTGGTGGGTTCGAACTGCTAGTCTTCTGGAGTCTTCTGGTTAGCAGTCAAAGTGCCTTAGGCACTACGCTACCAGAGCTCCCCCTTAGGCACCATGCTACCAGTTTTGCTCTTAACTAGGTTGTTTCCAGAGATGCAAACATCTAATAATAAATGGAGGACTGATTCATGATTCGATCAGTGGGTGCAGTCAGTGTCAAATTCTGCTTGATTTAAGGAAATCTTGTCATTTGTTGCAATATAAATTAGTATTGATGAATGCAAAGCTATGTAGATATTTTATGTGTCCCCGGAAGATACACAGTGATGCACAATCCACTCAATATATGACATGAATACAACTTTTTAATGGTCTTTATTCCGTAACATATTCTCTGTTAATCGTAAGGAATCTATACTCTTATGGAAGATCCACACAGTCCAGAGAGTTGAAAGTCATTTGCATAAGTTCACATTTTAGTAATATACTTAAATAAATCCACGCTCAAATTAACTCACTTTTTGTAAACCAAATCTAAAACCTGTACTACTTTTTTTTTTTTCTATTAAATATTAATTCCACTAGGTGGAGGCATTTGCTCAGTTTTGTGGTTCACACTATACAGCATATAAGAACAGAGAAGTCAATTTAAGCAGGGGAACTTGTCGGAAACAAAGCAAACAGATCTGAGACGGCCAAGGTCTGGTGCTCCATTGTAACAATTTGGCAAATGTATCTACATTGCTTTTCAGAGCTCCAGATTTGCTTTTAATGTTTAGCAAAGGAGAGTCCCAGGTTTTTTTTTTTTTTTTTTTTTGGTTTATAGTATATAAATTTTGTGGTTTTGTGTTTAATAGTTAGGAATTTAAAATAGCTAATATAGATCGAAATAGATCATTAACCTGGCATCTAAAGTTTTCTCATTTAATTCTTTTAGATAGCTATTGCGTTCAACAGTAGTATATCAACTAAGGATCTTTAACAGTAAAATAGATAATGTTTTCACTATAACTCAGGTATTTGAATATGCTATTGAGATGATAATATAACGATCATTGTTAATATATAAAAATATACTTACATGTAACTTTAGTCTTTATCCAAATGATTTCGTGTAAAATGAAACCTCTTCAAATTGTGGGGAAAAAAGTATTCTTTTTGAATATATCATGCAAGAGACAAAAATATACAAGACAACTCTTAAAGTAACTGAAAAATAAAAGGCCTAAAAAATTGTGTGTTTTTTTTTTTGTTTTTTCAATTTGAAGTTTTTTGTGGTCATCTTCTTGGGTTTCTACTTTCCTGTTTTTATTGGTACCAACATTATATGGAAACAATATCTTTCTAGTTAAGTAGGAAATTCATCTGTTGCTCTTTATTTTATATTTGAAGTTATAATGCTCTGTGTCATCAGTTAATTAGCTTCAAGGAAGGATGTCTCTGAAATGGTGAACTTTCTGTGAAAGCAGCTCAATTCTTTTTTTTTTTTTCCTGGTATGGGTTTTTAAAAAAGTCTTTCTTGTATAAACACTATTGTCTTTAATGTTATTGTTTTAAAGATGCTCTCGTAAGCATCTACAGCTGTTCTCATAAATTGATTAAAAACACAACAGACTTTTGTTTTCTAACTCTTTAGAGAAGGTTTAGTGATTGATCCTACTCTTTTTTTTTTTCATTTCAGGTATATAAGAAAGGAACAACCAAATTAGTGTAAATAAGTGAATTTTTGGAAATAGATTTAATTTTTCATATTTAATAGATATTGTATCATTTTAAAAATGATATATATATATATATTTAATTTAAGAAAATCACTTGGTGTTATGGGTTTAATTTTGTACTCTAAAAATATGTTATAAATCCTAACCCCTATTTTTTTTCCCATTCCAAAGAAAGGTGATCCAAACGAATGCAAAAATTATCAAACAATATCATTAATATCACATGCAAGTAAAATTTTTCTGAAGATAATTTAAAAATGATTGCAGCAGACATCAGCTGGGATCTGCCAGAAATTCAAGCTGGATTCAGAAAGATGTGGAATGAGAGAGATTCTGATATCACATGGATCTTGGCTGAAAGCAAAGAATACCAGACAGATGTTTACCTGTGTTTTGTTGGCTATGCAAAGGCATTCCACTTTGAGGATCATAAAAAATTATGGGTAACATTGCAAAGAATGGAAATTCCAGATCACTTCTTTGTGCTCATGTGGAATCCGTAAATACACCAAGAGGCAGTCATTCAAACAGAACAAGGTGATGCAGCATGGTTTAAAATCAGGAAAGGTGTGTGTCAAGGTTGAATCATTTCAGCATACTTATTCAATCTGTATGCTGAGAAAATAATCCAAGAACCTGGACTATATGAAGAAGAAGGGAGCATCAGGATTGGAGGAAATGTCATTAACAACCCTCAATATGTGATGACACAACTTTGCCTTCTGAAAGCGAAGAGGACTTGAAAAACTTACTGTTGAAGATCAGAGACTACAGTCTGCAGTATGGATTATACTTCAACATAAAGAACAGAAAAGTCTCTACAACTGGACCAATAAGCAACATCATAATTAACGGGGAAAAGATTTAAGTTGTCAGGGATTTCATTTTACTTGGGTCCAGTCAATACCCATGGAAACAGCAGTCAAGAAATCAGAGGTTGTACTGCACTGGGCAAATCTGCTGTTAAAGACCTCTTTAAAGTTTTAGAAAACAAAGATGCCACTTTGAAGACTAAAGATACCACTTGAGCCTGACCTAAACTGGGGTATTTTCAAGCACCACATGTACATGTGAAAGCCTGAAAATGAATACAGAGGACCAAAGAATTGATATCTTTTGATTATGGTGTTGGTGAAGAATATTAAATATGTCATGGACTGCCAGAAGAATAACCAAATCTGTTTTAGAAGATGTAAAGCCAGAATGTTCCTTAGAAGCAAGGATGGTGAGACTTCATCTCACATTCTTTGGACCTGTAATCAGACGAGTCCCTAGAGAAGAACATCATGCTTGATAAAGTAGAGGGTCAGTGAAAGAAGAAGACCTCTAACAGGGTGGATTAACAGAGTGGCTGCAACCATTGGCTCAAACATAGCAACAGTTTTCAGGATGGTGCAGGACTGGGCAGTTTTTAATTTTGTTGTACATAGGTAGGTGGCTATGAGTCAAAATAGACTTGATGATACCTAACAACAACAACAACTTGCCTAATGGAGTTATAATCCCTTTTGGGAATAGATTGTATTTGTTATATTAATGATGCAGGATTAAAGTATAGGGTGTGTCTTGAGTCAGTCCCTTTTGATTTAACAAAAAAGAGATTGAAACAAGCTCACAGGTAGGCAGAGATGGGGAAAGAGAGAGACGCCAAGCCATGTGTAGATCACTCAGGAGCAAAAGCTCAGAAGTGACAAGGACCTTCGTCCAGAGCTAACAGAGGGAGAACACCTTCCCCTACAACTGACAAGCTTAATTCAGATTTCTGGCTTCTTAACTATGTGAAAATGAACTTCTTTTTGTTAAAGCCACCCATTTGTGGTATTTCTGTTATAACAACACTATATAAATAAGGCACTTGTCACAAGCTGGGTAAAGAAGGTTTATTAATCCACAAATCTAACAATTGATTTTCTCTTAAGGATGAAAGCCTGGCCCGTCAATTGGTGGAACTAGGCTACCGAGGGACTGGAGAGGTGGTGAAAAGGGAAGATTTTGAAGCAAGAAAGTCAGCTATAGAGGTTGCAAGGCAGGCTGAAAGAACTCAGAAAAAGTAAGTATCCACATTTAAAATCTAGTTTTATGTTATGTTCTTTAGTCCCTGGAAAAGTACAGTATTATTTACACAGTTATAATTTAGAAACCTGGCCTGGAACAGGTAGAACTTATTACAAATTCCATCCTCTGCATGTATTCTGCAGATCGGGAACTAGAAGAACTGCAGTATGCTTGTAAGTAAAGTCACATGCAACTTTGAGCCACTAACTTAAGATATAAATCAATACAAATACAGAGGTATGGTCAGCATCCCAATAAAATCCTGTTAAAAAGTAATTCAGTATTATTGGTTTTATGTTTTTGCCTGATATTTCTTTGTACTTTTGAAATCTATAAATCTTTGGCATCATTTAGGTTTTCATATTTTCTAAACATTGATTTCATTCAACTCTATTATTGATCAGTAGCTTTTATTAATTTAGCTATTTGGTTATATAAAATATGAATTTTGGTAATTGTGTTTGTGTGTCACCTTGGCTGCACCTGGTTGAGTGGCTGGGCAGGTGGTGGTAGTTATTCCCCATGATGAGACTGGTAATCAATTCCACTATGGGATCTACCACAAGCAGCTGAGTAGCTGCCTTTGGGATGCGGTCTGCTTCCTATATATAAGGAGAAGCCTTGGGAATGGTTTCTAGCCTATGGCACGCTTGGACCCTGCACATAGCTGTGTCAGTGCTCAGCAGTCTGCTATGCTCTCCCGACCTTGGGACTTAAAATGGACTTACGTTAATGGCCTGCCATGTGGTTTGGTAACATCGGGACTGTGCCTTTTTACTTGTCAACCTTGGGGCTTCTTAGCCTCAGTAGCCAGCAGCTGTCTGAGTGAAGAAACGCCTCTAACTCCAGTGGGCCGGGAGCAGGAGCTGGACCTGAAGGTTGAGGAGCTTTCATCCAGCCCCTAGAGCCTGGCACTTTGAACTTGGACTCAAAGCCTCCAAACTGTAAGAACAAACTTCTGTTTGTTAAGGCCATCCCATTTGTGGTTTATTTCTTGTCAGAGTGGCACTAGGTAACCAGAGCAAGAATATAATAAAATATTTTATAAAAAATATATGCCAAAAAAGGAGCTACATCAAATAGATAAGGTGATTTTTGAAATAATTCATAAAATAATCATAATGTTATAAATGTTGTGGAGGATAATTACTTAGAAATTGACATATTTTTCTTTGATTACATCTTTAAAAATACTCAGTAATTTTGAGTAACATTTTTTATGTTTTTATGATAGAAAAACAATCTTTGGTAGCAGGATGTGATTTGGCCTGGGAATGTGCAGTTTTAACTGTTTGCTTTAAGTGGTGAGAGCTCTGGTGGCATAGTGCCTAAGGCATTTGACTGCTAACCAGAAGCCTGACAGTTCAAACCCACCAGCCACTCCTCAGAAGGATGGTTGGGCAATCTACTTCTGTAGTAATACTGCCTCGGAAACCCAAGGAGGGGTTGCTATGAATCAGATCCAACTCGACAGCAGTCGAGTTTGGTGTTTTGGTTAGGTTCTAAGTGGTTATTTTGGTGGTGGTATTGTTCGTTGCCAATGAGTCTTCTCTGACTCATGGCTACGTTATGGAAAGCAGAATGAAATGTTAACCTCTCTTGTGCTGTCTTCATGATCATTGATATGTTTGATTCATTATTGCTGCTATTGTGTCGGTCCACCACTCATCTGTCAGTTTGTCATACTGAAGTGCCTTGCATGATGCTAAGATATTGGTATCTATGCCACTGGTATTGCAAATGCCAGCAGGGTCACCCATGGTGGACAAATTTCAGCGGAGCTTGCAGACTAAGACACACTAGGAAAAAGGACCTGCCAATCCACTTTTAAAAAGAAGTTGAACAGTGAAAACCTTATAAATAGCAGCAGAACATTGTCTGACCTAGTGCCACAAGATGAAACCCTCTGGTTGGAAGGCTCTCAAATTGTGACAGGGGAAGAGCTGCTTCCTCAAAGTAAAGTTGACCTTAATGTTGTAGATGAAGTAAAGCTTTAGAGACCTTCATTCGCTGATGAGGTACAACTCAAAATGAGATGAAACGTCTGTAGACATCCATTAATAATTGGAACATGGAATGTATAAAATATGAATCTAGGAAAATTGGAAGTAATAAAAAATAAAATGCAATGCATAAAGATCAATATCCTATGCATTAGTGTGCCAAAATGGACTGGTATTGGCCATCTTGAGTCAGAAAATCAGTCATATGGTCTTCTATGCTGGGGGTGACAAATTGAAGAGGAATAGCATCACATTTTCAGTCACCTCATATGCATGTGATAGCTGGATAATGAATAATGAAAAACTTAGAATTGATGCCTTTAAATTATGGTGATGGTGAAGAGTGCTTCTTAGAAGCAAGAATGGTGAGACCTTGTCTTCTGTACTATGGGCATGTTGTCAAGAGGGACCAGTCCTCGGAAAAGGACATCATGCCTCGTAATGTAGAACATCAGTGGAAAAGAGGAAGACATTTAATGAGACTGATTGTCACAGTGGATGCAATAATGATTGTGGAGAAGGTGAAGGACCGGGCAGTGTTTCAATCTGCTGTACGTAGGATCGTTATGAGTTAGACCTGACTTGATGGCACATAACAAAAACAACAAGGAAGTTCAGTTAATGTGAGTATTATTCATATTTATGCACCAACCACTAATGCCAAAGATGAAACATTGAAGATTTTTACCAACTTCTGCAGTCTGAAATTGACAGAATATGCAATCAAGATGTATTGATAGTTACTGATGATTGGAATGGGAAAGTTGGAAACAAAGAAGGATCAGGGTTTGGAAAATATTGACTTAGTGATAGAAATGATGCAGGAGATCACATGATCGATTTCAAAGGATCAATGACTTATTCTTTTCAAGTGCCTTTTTTCAACAACATACATGTTGACTGTAGACAAGGACTTCACAGTATGGAATATTCATTAGTCAAATCAACTACATCTGTGAAAGAGAAGATGGAGAAGCTCAGGGTCATCATCAGAACAAGGCCATGGACTGATGGTGGAACATACCTTCAGTTGCTCACAGGTAAACTCAAGTTGAAGCTGAAGAAAATTAAAACAAGTCTACGAAAGCCAAAGAAAGTATGACCTTGAGTATATCCCACCTAAATTTTGAGACCATCTCAAGGATAGATTTAATGCTTTTAAAACTAATGACTGGAGACAGATGAGTGTGGGGTGACATCAAGAACATCATACATTAAGATAACAAAAGATTATGAAAAAGACAGAAAAAAGGACAAAATTAATGTCAGAAGAGACTCTGGAACTTGCTCCTGAATGTAGAGTAGCTAAAGGGAAATGAAGAAATGATGATTAAAAGAGCTGGACAGGAGATTTATAAGGGCAGTTCAAGAGGAAAAAGTGAAGGATTATAAAATGAAATGTGCAAAGACCTGGAGTTAGAAAACCAAAAGAGAAGAACAGTCTTAACATTTCTCAAGCTGAAAGAACTGAGGAAAATGTTCAAGTGTTAGGATGCAAATTTGAAGGATTTTATGGGGAAAAGATAGAACAATGCAGAAAGCATTGAAAGAAGATGGAAGGGACCCACCGTGTCAATGCACTAACAAGAACTGGTTTGTATTAAACCATTTCAGAAGGTAGTATATGATCAAGAACTAAGGGTACTGAAAAAAGAAATTTAAGCTGCACTGATGGCACTGGTGAAAAACAAGGCTCCAAGAAATTTATTGAATACCAATCGAGATGCTTCAACAAAAGGATGCAGTATTTGACATGCTCACTCATCTATGCCAAGAAATTTGGAATATTCATGCCCATTCCAAAGATCTAACAGAATGTGGAAATTATTGAACAATATTAATATCATCTGCAACTAAAGTTTTGTTACCAGGAGGGACCAGACCCTGGAGAAGGACATCATGCTTGGTAATGGAGAAGGTCAATGAAAAAGAGAAAGACCCTTAATGAGATGGATTGACACAGCTGTTGTGACATAGGCTCAAACATAATAACAATTGTGAGGATGGGGCATGAGCGGGCAGTGTTGGAATCTGTTCAGTGGCACTTAAAAACAACATCTCATTGAGCATTTCCTCATTTTTGCTGATCCTCTACTTTGCCAACCATGATATCCTTTTCTAGCAATTGGTCTTTCCTGATGATGTGTCCAAAGTAAGCAAGACAGAGACTCGACATCCTATTTTCTATAGAGCATTCTGGTTGTGTTTCTTCTAAGATTGGTTTGTTTATTCTTCTAGCCCCCCAGAAACCCAGTGCCTCAAGTCAATTCTGGCTCATAGCAATCCTATAGAGCAAAGTAGAACTGCCCAAAGTAGAACTATCCCATAGGGCTTCCACTGCTGTAAATCTTTACAGAAACAGACTGCCACATCTTTCTCTCCTGGAACAACTGGTGGATTCAAACCACTGACCTTTTTGTTAGCAGCCAAACATTTAACCATGGCACCACTTCTTGTTGTTGTTGTTATGTGCCATCAATTCGGACCTGACTCATAGCGACCCCCCCCCTTGGGTTTCTGAGGCAGTATCACTATGGAAGTAAATTGCCTCTTCTTCCTTCCAAGGAGTGGCTGAAGGGTTTGAACCACCAGCCTTCTGGTTAGCAGTCAAGTGCCTTAGGCACTACGCTACTGCACCACTAGGGCTTTTTATTTTTCTAGCAGTCCAGATTTCATTATTCTTCACCAAAATAAAAATTTAAATACATCAATTCTTATGTCTTCCTCTGTCATTGTCCCACTTTCACATCCATATGAGGCAATTGAAAAGACCATGGCTTGGATCAGAAACATCTTAGTCATCAAAGTGACATTTTCAATTTTAACATTTTAATGAGGCCATCTACAACAGTTTAATTTCTTGGGTGCTGCTTCTATGACCACAAATTGTTTATCCAAATAGAATGAAGTTGTTGAGAACTTAATTTTTTTTCCCTCTGTTTATCCTGAATTGTTTATTGGTTCAGAATCATAGGATATTGGAATTTAGCAT